AAAATAAGATATTATGATTTCAAATCACATATTATACGGTGAGATGTAATAACAGATGAAAAATAATTACTTTTTATTATATGACCAGAATTTAAAAAAAAAATCAACATCTAATCACTATTTTAAAAAAAAAACCTCTATCGATTTTTTTTATTAATTTCTTAATATTTGATAATTATATTAAATCTTAATAAATTTAAAATTAAATTACATTTATAAAAATTAAATTCAAAATTTTATTTAAAAAATTCAAACTCTCCTTGTCAGTGAAACCTCTCACGGTTGCTCGTTATAAAAACACACTAAGGAACCGGAATTATTCGCTCTGTTTCGTCCTCTGCTGCCTCTGCTCAAGAATCATGTTTTCATCCAAAGAAATGCCTTCGCCATCGTCTATGTTCGCGGCGTACGCCTCCATGACGGCGTCCGTCATGCTTTTCAGGTCGATGGCTAATGAGTTGATTCCTTACCCTATAAGGAACTACCTTCTTTCTACCTTCCGGTGCTTCTTCAAAGCCCGTTCTCCAAGACTCACTCTGGTCGTGGATGAAAATGCCGGCATGTCAAGAAACCAAGTTTTTGATGCCTCCGAAGCTTACCTCTGCACCAAGATCAGTCCCAACACCGAAAGGCTCAAGATTAGCAAAACTCCCAAGGAGAAGAACTTGACGATTCGGCTCGAGAAGGGTGAGAAGATTGTTGATTTCTTCCAAGGGGTTGAGATAAAATGGCAATTCATTTGCTCGGAGGGGGAAAAGCCTAACCCCAACGAGCCAACTCCGCCGAAAGTCGAACGGCGATCGTTTGAGCTCAGTTTCCACAAGAAAGACAAGGAGAAGGTTCTGGATTCTTATATTCCGTTCATTCTCGAGAGGGCAAAGGTAATCAAAGACGAACAGAGGGTTCTCAAGATGTTCACGCTGAACAACTCACCGATCTACGGTGGAATCAAGTGGGACTCGATCAACCTCGAACATCCGGCGAAGTTCGAGACCCTGGCCATGGACCCGGAGCTGAAGAACGACATTTTACAGGATCTGGACAGGTTTGTCAAGAGGAAAGAGTTCTATAAAAGAGTGGGGAGAGCTTGGAAACGTGGGTATCTGTTGTATGGTCCTCCCGGTACCGGAAAATCAAGTTTGGTTGCTGCCATGGCTAATTATCTCAAGTTTGATGTATACGACCTTCAGCTAGCGAATATAATGCGAGATTCTGACCTCAGAAAACTGCTGCTGGCTACCGGCAACAGATCAATACTAGTGATTGAAGATATTGATTGCAGTGTGGATATACCAGACCGCCACCATGAAGATGGACGGAAACAACCCGAGCATCATGTACAGGTTAGTGCAAGCATCATTCCATACTCGACTGACAAAAAAAAATTTTTTTTGGGGGCTAATTCAGAATGAAAAACTAATTTTCTTCGTAGTTATTCACAATCATCAAATTATGTGATTCGACCATTAAGCACCTAAATCATCACTACAATTACAGATTGGAAGGATGTTTTTCCTTTTCATCAACAAGTATATGATGGAGTGATCCTTAACTTTTTCTTTGTTTTAGAAATACATATTTTAAATATAATGGAAAATGAGGAAAGGAAATTTCATGACTTGAACATGCAACCCTTTAGAGGTTATCTCACTAGTTAGTGACTATGGCCACCAAGCTGGAGTGTGAGAATTGCGTAGACGTATGTTCTTCTATGTAAAGTCATGTGATGTAGTGTCCTCTTTTCAAGTAGTCCCTTTATTTTCTTCTACCTACAAGAAAATTCGACCAATTCATTGAACAATTTCCTGGTGAAGCACTAGCAGAGACACATGCTAGGGAGCTTGGACCAAAGGCGCCAACTTTATGTCCTTGTCGTTTATCGTCGTACCTTACTTTTGGGAGGTTATCCATGTGCCTAATGCTTGATTTTTACTCAATTGAAGCAACTAACTCTTTCCGGGCTACTCAACTTCATTGATGGACTATGGTCTACTTGTGGAGATGAGAGAATCATCATATTCACCACTAACCACAAGGAGAGGTTAGATCCAGCTTTGCTGCGTCCCGGGCGCATGGACATGCACATCCATATGTCCTACTGCACCCCACAAGGCTTCAGACTTTTGGCGACAAATTACTTGGAAATCGGCTACCACCGTTATTTCGGGGAAATTGAAGACTTGTTAAAGACAACGGAGGTCAGTCCAGCACAAGTTGCAGAGGAGTTGATGAAGAGTGATAATGCTAATGTTGCACTTGCTGGACTTATCAAGCTTCTAAAGAGGAAGAACTTGGAGGGAGATGAAACAATGGATGAAGATGATAACAAGTATGGAATTCAGAAAGCAAAGAGACAGAAACTTGACAAGAAGCCTAGAAAGTCTACAAGGGTCATTGGGAGAAGGGTTTCCAAGAAAAAGAACTAATTTTTTCATTCCATTAATATGTAATATGTACTCCCCCCCGGTCCTACTCCCACAATAATAATAGATGTTTTATGACATTGTCTTTCTCTAATTTTATTTTTAAATTAAAAATTTAAGGGGAATGTTTATCTTTATAGATATTATCCTTAAAAAAATAAAAATAATAAAACTTAAATAATAAGATTTAAATTATAATAAAATAAATAATTAAAATAAAAAATAATGATAAAATTAAAATAAAATTTTTTAATAAAAAACATTTACTATTATTTTGAAGTAGGATGGTTATAATTTAATAAAAATTACTAGAGTAATTAATTAAATAATCCAGTTTATTATATAAAAAATTAAATTGTAATCCACCATGACTGTATTTTTTATAATAATCATCTATAAACAGACTTTTAATATTGAGGATATCTCTCTATGAGTAATTAAAAAAAATACAATTCACAGGAAAGGCAGGCAGGCAGGCAGCACTGCACCATTATGCCAGACTACACGCTACAGGATATATAGATTCTATCTCAGCCCCCTAAACAAGTCAAGATTGAGCTCAATCTTGAGCTTAATAGAGGGATCAGCCATTAAAAATCTCCAATATTCGGATCTGACTTGATTCATTTAGATCTAAAACCAGAAAAAACGAGAAAAAAATATTCACATTCAAGAATCAAGATTTAAAATCCCCAAAAGTTGAGAAAAAAAGAAAAAAAAAAAAGATTAAAGGGAATAAGGTTTGTGATAAAGAATGGAATGTGGGTCTAAACCAGGCCTCCAAATCAAAGCCTCGGACAGAGACTCAAAGGAAGCAGACATGTTGACCCAAGGGATTCAATTTCTGTGCACATTACCATGCTACCTTCATTCGGTTTTCCAGAGCATCGGCTTATTATGCACAGAATTCATGCTAATCGTAGACAAACAACAAAAAACTAAACACTAAGAATTAAAACCAGGAAGAAATATACATAATCTGAAGCAAAGCCAGCACCAGGCACCAGCCACCAGATATGACATATGGGGCTCTCGGTTCTCCTGGTTAACCCATTTATAGAGTGCCGGCAGGAGGAAGAGGTCTGCTAATGCTAGGGTTTTCCTCTTCGCCTCTCAAAATACCAAAACACCCATGTCATTTGGTCGAAATGACATAAATACCTCCACATCATCAGTGTTAGTAGTTTGACTTTCTTGTTTATTTATGTACCAGGCCCATTAAACATAATACACTGAGCTCACTTAGCTCAATAAAGCCCAACCATATATCACTCGTTTTACTGTATGTCTATGGCCTCCCCCAATCATAACTCATGGATTGGTGGAAACCAAGAACAATTCCCCCTTTTCTTAACATTCTAAAATATATATATATATATATATTTAGATGTATATTTTACATTTTTTAAAGAAAATAATTGATACATATTCAATTCAACAAACTTTTTAACATTTATTTTAATTCTTTTTTTTTATATTGGTTGTATAACAAGATACAACTCTCTTTCATCCCTTATCCCACCTCATCCACATACCATACGATTAGAATTTATGATCTTTTATTTTTAACGAAAATAAATTATTACTGAGATATTTAAGTTGTTGGCCATTTTAATTCAATTAATAAAATATAATATAAATATAATTAATTTTTACATCTTGTTGTTTATAAGGTTTGGTATAATTGTTAAAAATTATAAATACAAGGCATATCGTGTTTACTTGGGAAGAGTATTTATCTTCTACATACCCTACGATTTTTTTCTAGGCCAAGGCAC